AAGGGGCTGGGTGTGGTGGCTCACACCTGTAATCTAAGTACTTTGGGAGGCTGAGGTGGGCAAATCACTTGAGGTTAGGAGTTCGAGACTAGCCTGGCCAACAGGGTGAAACCCCGTCTTTATTAAAAATACAAAAAAAATGGCCAGGTGCGGTGGCTCAAGCCTGTAATCCCAGCACTTTGGGAGGCCGAGACGGGTGGATCACGAGGTCGAGAGATCGAGACCATCCTGGTCAACATGGTGAAACCCCGTTTCTACTAAAAATACAAAAAACTAGCTGGGCGTGGTGGCGCGTGCCTGTAATCCCAGCTACTCAGGAGGCTGAGGCAGGAGAATTGCCTGAGCCCAGGAGGCGGAGGTTGCGGTGAGCCGAGATCGCGCCATTGCACTCCAGCCTGGGTAACAAGAGCGAAACTCCGTCTCAAAAAAAAAAAAAAAAAAAAAATTAGCCAGGTATGGTGGTGTGCACCTGTAATCCCAGCTACTTGGAAGGCTGAGGCAGGAGAATTGCTTGAACCCAGGAGCCAGAGGTTGCAGTGAGCTGAGATTATGCCACTGCACTGCACTCCATCCCAGGAGACAGAGTGAGATTCCATCTCAAAAAAAAAAAAGAAAAAAAGAAAAAAGAAAAAGAAAAGAAATAGAAATAAAGAATAAAGGGCATCCAAATAGGAAGATAGAAAGTCAAACTATCTCTGTTTACAGATGGCATGAATCCATATCTAGAAAACCCCATAGTCTCTGCTGAAAAGCTCCTTCAGCCAATAAACAATTGCAGCAAATTTCAGGCTACAAAATTAATGTACAAAAATCACTAGCATTCCTATGCACCAACAGCCAAGCCAAGAGCCAAATTAGGAAGGCAATCCCATTCACAATTGCTACAAAAATAATAAAATATCTACAAATACAGTTAACCATGAAATTCTTACAATGAGAATTACAAAACACTCTCAAATAGAAGACACAAACAAATGGAAACATATCCCATGCTCATGAATAGGAAGAATCGATATCATAGAAATGGCTATACTGCCCAAAGCAATTTACCGATTCAATGCTATTTCTATCAAACTACCAAAGACATTCTTCACAGAAGTAGAGAAAAATGATTTTAAATTCATATGCAAACGAAAAAGAGCCTGCATAGCCAAGGCAATCCAAAGCAAAAAGAATAAAGCTGGAGGCATCACATTACCTTACTTCAAACTATACCACAGGGATACAGTAACCAAAACAGCATGATACTGGTACAAAAACAGACATACAGACCAATGGAACAGAATAGAGAACCCAGAAATAAGGCCACACATACCTCCAACCATATGATCTTTGACAAAGGTGACCCAAAAAGCAATGGAGAAAGGACCCTCTATTCAATAAATGATGCTGGGATAACTGGCTACCCACATATAGAAGACTGAAGCTGGATCCCTTACTTACACTATATATGAAAATCAACTCAAGATGGATTAAAGACTTAAATGGAAAACCCAAAACTATAAAACCTCTAGAAGGCAACCAAGGCAATACCATCCTGGACATAGGAACTGGCAAAGATTTCATAATATAGACACCAAAAGCAATTGCAACAAAAGCAAAAATTGACACACGGGATCTAGTTAAACTTAAGAGCTTCTGCCCTGCAAGAGAAAGTATCAACAGAGGAAACAGACAACCTATAGAAGGGAAGAAAATGTTTGCAATCTATTCATCTGACAAAGGTCTAATATCCAGAGTCTATGAAGAACTTAAACAGATTTACAAGAGTAAAACAAACAAACTCATTAGAGAGTGGGCAAAGGACATGAACAGACAGTTTGCAAAAGAAGACATACATAAAGCCAACAAACATATGAAAAAAGTCTCAATATCACTGATCACTAGAGAAATGCAAATCAAAACCACAATGAGATACCACCTCACACCAGTCAGAATAGCTATTATTAAAGTCAAAAAATAATAGATGCTGGCAAGATTGTGGAGAAAAGGGAATACTTATTTATACACTGTTGTTGGGAGTACAAATTAGTTCAGCCATTGTAGAAAGCAGTGTGGTGATCCCTTGAAGAGCTAAAAGCAGAGCTACCATTCACCCCAGCAATCCCATTACTGGGTATATACACAGAGAAATAGAAATCCATTCTATGATAAAGACACATGCATGAGAATGTTCATCGCAGCACTGTTCACAATAGCAAAGACATAGGATCAACCTAAATGCCCATTAATGACCGATTGGATAAAGAAATGTGGTACATATATACCACAGAATACTATGCAGCCATAAAAAGGAATGAGATCCTGTCTTTTAGGGAACATGGGTGGAGCTGGAAGCTATTATCCTTAGCAAAGTAATGCAGGAACAAAAAAACAAATACCGCATGTTCTCACTTACAAGTGAATGTGAAATGATGAGAATTCATGAACCAAAGAAGGGAACAGCAGACACTGGGATCTAGTTGAGGGTGGCAGGTAGGAGGAGGGAGAGGAGCAGAAATGAAGACTATTGGGTATTGGGCTCAATACCTGGATGATGAAATAATCTATACAACAAACCCCCATGACACATTTATCTCTATGACCAACCTTTACATGTACCCCCAAATCTAAAATAATTTTTTTAAAGAATAATACTTGGGATGAGAGTGGTTTCTGTGGGTAGTTGCTACAAGCAACTTGTAGCAAAGATTTTAAAAGTGCATCCACTTCTCCAGGAAAATAAAGTACGTCCAGTGGTAGATTTTTGACCTGTGTCTTTGTTGATCTAAATTCTTGGGGGGCTACAGAAATTTCATAAAGCCTACCGCCTACACCCAGCCCTGAAAGCACTTAGTAGCCTGTGTTCAAGTGCCTTAAGTGTCGTCCTCCATCACAAGGGGCATATGTTATGACTGTGGGTTGTGTTCCATTTTCCAAAGATAAGATTCCAGCAGAATGACAAAGAATGGTAAGTTAAGAAGCACTTCAAAATCTGAAAGCTGCGGTTACATTAAGTGAGAGAACAATGAGACTTGATCAGTAAAGACAGAGCGAGGTGGGGGTGGGGGGTGCTCTAAATAGCCTCTGCCTCTTGCAATGAGACGACTGCATTTTCATCATAATTATTAAATATTGGCAAGAGGCTTAGCAGCCTGTTACCCACCTCCCTGATGTCAGGCTGCTTTCCCACTCTACAATTTTGAAACCTGGTTGGCAATTGCACCCTGAAGAGCAGTTCTAACAACGCTGCAGCAAACTTTCCCCTACTTGAAATCTTCAATTATATATGTATAGACTAACGGCAATCTACATCCTACCATTTTCTCCCTCTGTCTTTTTTTCTTATCGCCATATCATTAACTTCAACAAAATTAAGTCAGGGACATTTAGTCCTCAGAGAAGCCAGGGAAATAATAACAGATGGATTAGCGTAAAGGGGATAAGGCAGAGAGAGGACAGTTTGACTTCCTTTCAGAAAAGTTTGAGCTACATAAAGACACACACACATGCACATGCACACATACGTGCACATCCACACACACACAACATTAAACTGTGCAGAGAAAATTTCAGCCCATGGTGAGCTGAGCTGCTGTTTTGCACAGAGTGAAGCATTGAAAAAAAATAGAAGAGAGTAAAATACTATTATTTTTCCCCTAACATTTGAAGGACTTTGCAGAAACATGGCATGTGGGTTTTGTTGGTGCCCCACAAAAGTCAGGCGCCCTTCAAAGGGTTTATTTGGCTTTATTCATTCTGTTGTTAGAATTAGCCTTAAAAATCAGGTCTGATTGCACTGAATTAGGGAAAGTGACTTGATTAGTAGGTATTTAATATGTGTTTACTGAACTGAATTAAAGTTTAGTGTGCCTATGTTTCAAAAGCAAAACAGATAAATAAGAGAGGATATCATTTGGAAGTAGTTCTCCGAAATAAAGATCTTCTAAGATTTCACAAATCTGTATTTTTAGATGGGTATCAAGAGACCAGAGTTTTATAGTATGGGTATAGCTTTCCAGAGCTTATAAAGCAACTTTCTTTTACTTAACGTGTATAAATTTTACAACATTTCTATGAGAAAAGGTTTATTATCCAAGTAAGGTAGATATTACTGCTGTCCTTGTAGCTTATGGAAGACCTCCTTACAGTTGGGTCAGGCCAGGAGATGAGTTCTGGCCAATAGCCTGCTAAAAGAAGAGGCATGGGGGCCGGGTGCGGTGGCTCACATCTGTAATCCCAGCAATTTGGGAGGCTGAGGTGGGTGGATCACCCGAGATCAGGAGTTCGAGACTAGCTTGGCCAACAGCTGAAACCCTGTCTCTACTAAAACTACAAAAATTTGTAGTAAACAAAATTTGTAGTAAAAATTTGTAGTACTAAAACTACTGGGGGTACTGGCACGTACCTGTAATCCCAACTTCTCGGGAGACTGAGGCAGGAGAATCTCTTGAACTTGGGAGACAGAAATTGCAGTGAGATGAGATCACACCACTACACTCCAGCATGGGCAACAGAGTGAGACCCTGTCTCAAAAAAGAGTCATGGGCTATTTTTTGGCAATAAGACCATGGGCAATTTTCTAGACTCTCTTCCCATTCATCAACCAGGGAATCTATGTGTTCCACATGATGGAGATTTATCATGAAGTATTTATTAGCCTGGACTTTTAAGCTGCCCAAATGGAAGAAAGTTGCCTTAAAATGTCATCCAGACCCACATGGATATTTGGACATAGAAATAAACCTTTGTCATGTTAAGCTACTTAGATCTTGGCTTGCTGCAGAGCACTCCAAGACCTACTTTTAGTAATATACTTCGTTTTAAAAATGAAAAAGCTTATTTTTCTAAGCCTCAGGTAATTATTTTAAATTGCTACAGATCACATTGCAGGTAAGAGGTAAACTGGTATATGAACCCAAATCTTGCTGAAAATACATCAATACAAAAAGAATCACCCGACCCGCTGTAGGGTTGGAAAGAAAATCACATCTGATTTTTTTTTTTTAACCATGAACTCCTTTTATTTCCTCTATCATATTTATGGTATTATACTAATTTTGGTTGAAATGGTGTGGAATCATATGCAATTATCTACAAACTTCATTGAGTTATGGAGACATTACAAAATATTTGTTATAAATATACAAATATCTGTATAAACATTTGGTATAAAATATAAATATTGTTATAAAATGGGGCATTCAGTCTGATGAGGCTGAGAATCACTGCAGTATATGCTTCCTACAACTTTTCTGATTATCAACAAGTCTTAGAAATTTCTGCATATGTAGCATGGGCACACCATAGTCTATTCATACACTTCCTGTTAATAGACATATAGGTTATTTCTAATTTGTGCTGTTAGAAACAGTGAATAATATGAAATCTTCTGACATGCATCTTTGTGCACATGTGCAAGTATTTCTCAGGGGTAGATATTAAGATGTGAAAGTGCCACATCAAGAGTTTTAATATTTGTATATCTTTGGAGATAAAAATGTTTTCTCATTTCAAGTTGCATTTCCCTAACACTAGTCAAGCTGAACACCTTTTCAAATGGTTTTTTGGCCATGCTATTTCCTTGGTTGGTCAGCAATTCAAATTTTTGTCATTTTGGGGAGAATTGATTTGTAAGTGATTCATGTATTCTGACCACAATTTTTAAAATACATATGTTGGAAATCACTTTCTCCTAGTCTGTTGCCTACCTTTTAACTTTTGTCAAAGAGAAGTTTTAAATTTTGATATAGTAAAATTTATCATGTTTTTATTTGTTTTTGGCCTCCTCAAAGAGGCTTTCTCTACCTCTAGACATAGTTTTCAACAGGTGTATAATACTCCATTTTATGGATATACCATAATTTATAATATTCTTTTTCACTATTGGAAATTTAGCTTTTTCAAACAACTAAGTGTTCAACATGATGTTTTTAGCACGCATCTTAGTGCCTAGCAAACGGAGCATAATACGTAAATGTTTCTAAAGACAGGAAACTTTTTCCACACTCACATTCAAGGTATGTTTAAAAATGCAACCCTATGTCAATCAAATTACTGGGAATTAACCCTACAATGATACTCTTACTTTAGCCAGCTAATCAAGACTTGATTCTGCTTCTAAAATCTAGGCACACAAGTAAAGCTTCACCTTACCCCATAAGATTGCTCTTCCAAAGGGTGGAATGACTACCTGCGAGAAGCCTGCCATCACATACCTGAGTCCTCCTCCTTATCCTGACTTCAATTTTAGGGTACCTCTCTGCTTGGTGAGTCTTCAACGTTTACATTTAAGAAGCTTAAGAGTGGACCTGAGAAGAGGAGGGAGAGGGAAGAGAAGCCTCATTTTCAGGAGTTTGGGCTGCTGCAGATTCGTGAGGCCTGGCTCCAGATCCAGCAGGTGCGGCTCCGTATCCAGGAGGTGTGGATCCATATCCCGCAGGTGAGGCTCTGTATCCCACACGTGGGTCTTCATTTCCTGCAGGTGGAGCTCCGTATCCAGGAGGTGGGGCTCCATATACTACTGCAGAAGGGCCTCTGTATCCAGGAGGCGGGGTTTCATATCCTGCAGGTGGGACTTCATATCCTGCAGGCAGGGCTACATATCCTGGAGGTGGGGCTCCATAGACAATAACTGAACAAGGCATCTGTGGAGTGCATACATTCCCTTCTCCAGTAATTACATAAATTCTTGTAGAGCTAAACCAGTCATTTAAGGTTGTAAGTGGAAATCCTCGGGCAGCAGCAGAGGCAGCTTTCACCATCAAGTGGGCAAATTCAATGGCACCTCCGTTTCTGAAGACTAATTTAAAAGTAGCTTGTCTTTCCCAGCCACCATCTGGAGCTGCCCGAATACTTCCCTGAATGAAGTTTGCAGCAAATACTGGTTGTTCAACAGTGAGGTTCGTCATCAGATCAAATGGCATCATAAAAGACAACATGGGATCGTTGTTGGAGTGCGAAGTTACGAAAATCACCTTTCACCGTTAGGGATGAGGGCCTCGCGGCGGTTCTCGGTATGGTTCTGATTCAACGCCATCTTGCTTCCACATCTGATGTTTTTTGGTTACAGAGGTTGGCAGTGGGATTTACTCTGGGCAGTGGGAACAAACAATCACTTGTGAATACAGACGGCATTCCTGTGCTGCAGCACTGTCTAGCCTCTGCTAGAGAAGCAGGGGAAATAGTTACCCATGTGCCTTTTTGCTTTGCCTGGAATGCTCTTCCCACTGTGCGTTATTAAGTAAATTCTGTTTTCATTGTCAAAGAACACAATTTCGACAAATCAAATTTCAAAGATCGAATTGGCTTTTATTAGCATTTCATGAATGAGGCAACATCCCATCTGCAAAATATAAAGATGCTTCAATGAGCTGAGCAGAGAGGTGGGCTTTATAAGCAAAAACAGTTTGAAGAAAGCAAAATCATAGAACAAAAAGCAGATCAATCATTTCAGTTACAGCCTGTATTTTTTGCTGGTGAGGTTTGAGGGCCCAGTAGTTGCTTTTAGTTTCACACAGCCAAAGCTTTTCTAGTCTAAACTCATGATATCTTTTTTATAATACATTACAATACTGTAACCTAAATAACAATAAATGGAGTAACCTAAACATTTTAGGAAGCTTCTGATCTATTTGCTTCCAGTCGGTTCCTTGTGCGTGAAATCCAGTCCAAGCTTATTGCTTATTTTCTATGAAATCCAGTCCAAGCTTATTGCTTATTTTCTAGACAAAGTTCTCAATCTGTTTTTTTTTTTTTTTTTTTTTTTTTTTTGCTTTTTTGCCTCATGCCTCTCTTTTTAAATATCAGTTTACCTTGAGACCCTTGAAAAATATATAGGAATGTACAGTTTTCTATTATATCATTTTAATCATTTTATTTATTGATTTATTTATTTAAGAGATGGGTCTTGCTGACCCAGGCTGGAGTGCAATGGCGCAGACGTGGCTCACTACAGCCTTGACCTCCTGGGCCAGAGCAATTCTCCTGCCTCAGTCCCCCAAATAGCTGAAACTACAGGTGCACGCCACCATGCCGGGCTAAGTCTTGCATTTTTTGTAAAGATGGGATTTTGCCATGTTGCCCAGGTTTGGGTTAACTCCTGACCTCAGGTGACCCACCTACCTAGGCCTTCCTTATATTATTTCTTAATTTCATCTCTGCTGCAAGATCAGTCACATTGTTTGACTGATTCATTTTCTGAAGCCTTTGTCACTGAGTTCCTTTTTTAATTATTAGGTTGGTGCAAATGAAATTGCAGCGGTTGCCATTTACAAGTAATGGCAAATTACAATGAAAAGTACAGGACTTTCTCCTTAGTTCAGCTAAAAGCCGGGTTTTTGTCACATGGCCATGAAAGATTAGGCTTGCAGACACTGATGGGTGAGAAGGTTTATTTGGTGAAAAGGGAAAAGGGGAAAGAGGGACTCTCAGCAAAGTGAGAGTCCCGCTAGTGGGCTTCCCACCTCACAGATTGAAACCCCGGTTTCTACCCCGGAACACAAGAGACCAGGCTCCTTCCCCCTGCAAACGACGTGAACTTCCTGAGGCTCCATCCCAGTCCGTACTCTTTCCAGTACACAGGCTGGCCAGAGGTTCTCCAAGTACCTCTTTACACTTGGCTGTCTCAAAAGTAATACATCTTCTCGATGTCTGGGGTCTACAGGCAGTAGGCTTTTCCTACTTTTGAGGCTCCAAACGCCTGACATCTATTTCTTTTCATTCTGATTGAAAATCAGCCAATTGTGTCCTGAGGTTCTCTCTTTCTTATAATAACTTTCCAATGACAAAAGATTATACCCATTTCTTTTTGATCCTTTGAACAATCTTTTATAGGATCACTGTCTCAGCAGGCATGTCATGGTACTTCCATGTTTTATCAAATGTTTTGCTAAAATTTTGGCTTCTAAATGATATATTCACTTGCCCTGCCTCCAGTATCAGTCTCTTTGCCACCCTCTCCCAAATTGCCAAGTCAGTGCCACATATTTTAGGTTTTTCATCCAATCATACCCCAATTCTGACAACAATCTCTCCATTTGTTAAGTTGATCTAGTTTTTATAACAGACAAACCTGAAATCTCAGTAATTTAATGGATGTTTATTTCTCTTTCTCTTTTTTTCATAACTTCCAAGTGACAGTGGCATGGGGGACTCTAGTCCCCAGACTTTCAGGATATCAAGATAAAAGAGTTTTTGCCATCTTGTTCATAACATTGCCATGGTCATGTATATCCAGAGGGCAGATAGAGGAGGTGTGAATAAGGATTTACTGGAGAATTTTACAAGCCAGGCTTAAAAGTGGCATGTCTCATTTCTGACCACTTTTGCCTGGGGCTAAGGTTGTTAAGAGTGGGTACGGCAGAAGAATAGGTTTATAAGGGCAAGGGTTAGAGTGACAGCCTGGCTACAGTGATGGGGGCGTGCGTTGGTGGCAAAGGGACTGACGTCAGGAGGGTGGGATGGATGGGGAAACGGCAGGGTTAAGGGACTGTTGGTCCTGATGAGATCTAAGAGCAGGAGTATAAATAATAGAGGAGTATAAATAAATGGAAACCTAGGAAGTTATGACCAGAGAGTAAGATGCTGGAGTTTATGATTTCACAGGTGTTATAGTCCAGATGACAGCAAAATTCAGGTTTTGGTTGGAGAAGTGGGTTGCTGAAGCCTGGCTCAGATATCTTTGTTCTGATGTTTCAGTTCTTATGATTGCAGCTCCATAGAAGAATTATGGTGCAGAGGTTATGCCACTGAGTTCTAAAGTCAGAAGACCTCAGTTTGAATCTCAGCCCCATCACTTTCTAGCTGTTTGACCCTTGGCATACTAATCTCTCTCATTCTCATTACTCATCCGTAAAATGACAGTAAGAATGTTTTCTCCTTCATAGGGCTGTTTTGATAATCAGAGATAACATGTATAAAGTGCTGAAAACACTCTAGCCCGTAGTAAAATGTGTTTTATTGATAATGTATATCTGTCTCTGTCATTCCTGACTAGTTGCTCTGTTCTCAACATTTCCTGCCTTCACCTCTACCCCTTTCCTGCCCGAACCTATAAGCAAAACAGTATGCACACAGTGCTTTCCAAATGATATGCTCTAACTTCCATCCTCCCTCCAAATTCATCACACCACCTTTCGATGGGAATTTCTTTTATGCCATATTACGTATCCAATTTCAGACTTAGTCTAAAGTGGTTCTATTTCACTAAATTTCTCTTGAGAAAAAGTACCCCCAGAAAGATTTTTTAATAGAAAATTTTGTCTACTTTGATGATGATCCACCTTCGATGATCCATCTGCATTGCCATCACAGCTGAATAGGGCCTCCATTTCTTTCTTTCTTTTTTTTTTTTTTTTTTTTTTTTGAGACGGAGTTTCGCTCTTGTTACCCAGGCTGGAGTGCAATGGCACGATCTCGGCTCACCGCAACCTCCGCCTCCTGGGTTCAGGCAATTCTCCTGCCTCAACCTCCTGAATAGCTGGGATTACAGGCACGTGCCACCATGCCCAGCTAATGTTTTGTAATTTTAGTAGAGACGGGGTTTCACCATGTTGACCAGGATGGTCTCGATCTCTTGACCTCATGATCCACCTGTCTCGACCTCCCAAAGTGCTGGGATTACAGGCGTGAGCCACCGTGCCCGGCCCTAGGGCCTTCATTTCTAATGGCATCCTCATGCCTCCCTTCTCACCTGGCCAGATACCTCCATAGCCTTACTACTCAAACTGTGATCCAGGCTGGGCACAGTGGTTCACACCTGTAATCCCAGAATTTTAGGGATTACTTTAGCCGAGGTTGGTGGGTCACCTGAGTTAAGGAGTTTGAGACCAGCCTGGCCAACGTGGTGAAACTCCGTCTCTACTGAAAGTACAAAATTATCTGGGCATGGTGGCATGCATCTGTAATACCAGCCACTTGGGAGGCTGAGGCAGGAGAATCACTTGAACCCAGGAGGCAGATGTTGCAGTGAGCCCAGGGCACACCACTGCATTCCAGCTTGTGTGACAGAGCAAGACTCCATCTCAAAAAAATAAAAAATAAAAAATTGTGGTCCACAGACCAGCAGGTCAGCATCTTCTGGAATGTTTGAAATGCAAAATTGCAAGCCCTATCCAGTTCTACTCCATCTGAATCTGCATTTTAGCAAAATACAGGTAGATTATAATGAATGACAGAGTTTGCAAAGCACTGGTTGACAGCAAAAAGACTAACATTTCCATTCTTTTCTCTGAAGGAAGAGCTGCATCTTAAAATAGGTGTCCTGACAGATATTAGGCAGAGCCCACTTAAGACTCAACCATCCTATCTAGAGATGTACAACTTAAGGTCTATGCTTATCTAATGCTCTGAATTTAGATTCAGAAATGAAGAATAATAGAATATGTGCTAGGTGATTTCACAAAAGAATTTCTGGCTCCACACAACAAGATTTGGAGAGCAGTTTTAAAACCTTTTTCTTTGTAGGTTGCCTAAGGAAATTTGCTAATTTCCCTGGTATCAGCTTCCTACTACCCTAGAAAAAGAAAAATATACAAAAAAATACAGAAAGAAAATGCCATAGGATTTGTTTGTGTGTGTACATATAAATTTCAAAGGTCCGTTCCATCTGAGAGAAGTCTCGTAAAATAAATCAGTGAGACTGGGAAAGCAGTGGTCCCTTATATGTAAATATAATGGGGCTAAGAAAGAATTGGTCAGAAAGAAACAGGTAGTTCTCCCATGTGTTAAATCAAATTTAGCCTAAAGCTGCCTCCTTACATATTTTAAGTTCAGCCTAAAGGTTTCTCTGCACATCGGGAACTATAACAAGTGGAGGTATAAATAGACCGTAGCTTACACTTTTGCCAATCAAATGTAACCAACTGTTCAGATAAGGCAAACGCGGAGCTGAAACCAATCCAGCTGCTTCTGTACCTCGCTTCCATGTTCTATACGTCACTTTCCTTCTTCTGTCCTAAATCTTCTTCCACCACATAGGTTCACTGGAGTCTCTGAGCCTACTCTGGCTGAAGAGGCTGCCCAATTTGCAAATTGTTC